TGAGAAGTATTGGCAACCAATTCCACAAGGAACAACAGATCAGAAGTAACCTGGTAACACGAGCAAATTGAAGATTGCAAAACCGAGAAAAAGTTGATTTCATTTACAAAAACCTAATACGTATAACCGCATAACAGAGAGAGAGGCATACCTCGTGAGGAGGGAGGTCGGGGGCGGCGGAGATGAGAAAGGAATGAGGATGAGAGAAGACGAGGGAATGGACTAGTTGTGGAATGGAGGGAGGAGTCGTCAATGTTTCGTCTCTCAACGTCAGAAATGCAGTTCTCCAGGACCTCACCGCCGGCGCGGTAGATGACGATGACGACGATGCCGCCGTCGCCGCCGCCATAGAGTGACTCTGTGCTTGGGAATCGGGATAATCAGACACAAACGTTCAACAATTGAATGCTTGAAAGCTTCAACTACATGTTCCGTTGATCACGCTGCCATCAGATTGCGCAGTTCCATGTTCTGTTTTTCTGTGCTCCTTTGCTCCGCTGCACGCCTGCACCCCAATCTCGCAAAATCTATTCCGACTCCCAATTTCAATTGCCGATTTGATCCAAATGTTTTACCCAATTTCAATTTAGCCTCTTCCGTCTATTCAAACCGTTAGATATAACGGAAATATAAAAAGGATAAATTTTATAAAAAAAAAGTTAAATTAAGAGAGTTGGAAAAATAAAAAATAATATTTAATTTATCAATTATTTAATTAAATTTATTTATATGATAATAATACTAAAATTAATTTTTATTTTTATTTTTTATATAAATTTATTAAAAAAAAAATCCTTAACTTGTATCTTAGTCTTAAAAACTTAAGTTTAAAAAATCCTAAAAATTATTATTTTACAATCTAAAACTGTATTATTTCAGTAGAAGAAGCCCGCCCCTCACTGAAACGCAAAACAGGTTGTTAAATTGAAAATGAATTAAAATAATACTTTTTCAGTCTCCTAGCTTCCCTTATAACATGTAATTAAGTTCTCTAAATATTATTTTTTAGATGTTCAAATAAAAGTTTATTTGAATATATTCTTTTTATTTTAAAATAATAATAATTTTTTAATTTTTAAATTAAAA